GCCCTAACTGTAATATGTCACCTGTATGGAAGGCAGAAGCTCCGTCAGTTTAAAATGCTTTTACTTTCTAGACAGGATCAAATTTGTTCTTGTTCCCAGTTCGAGGTTCTTCCAGGTCTGTTTATTGCAGAGCTTGTATACAGTTTGATTTGTGTACGTCCTGCTTGTGTTTGTCCCTCTGCTCCGCACAGCTTTTGATGTTTACGAGATGAAGGCATCTCTGTAAGAAAGATAAATAAAGTACTTTTCCACCATGCGTAACACGTCTACCTTCGGCAGCCTGTGGTTGAAGTCGATCGGCCTCTAGCTGTGCTGATGGACCGCTCTGCCTGACAGCTGAATATCTGTGTCTGTTTCCTGTCCCAGATAACAGCAGTATGCAGAGAGGCTGCCCTCCTGGCCCTACAAGAGGACATCAAAGCTCTGCACGTCGAGGCCAGACACTTTGAAAGCGCCCTGAACACTGTGAAGCCCCGGATCCCCGACTCTCTCATCCAGTCGTATATCAGCTATCAGCAGCGACACAGCGGCCTGTGTTTCTTCTGATCACGCTGCTGACGATGAAGTCAGAACGAAGGAACTTGTATTTCTAATAAAAGATTTTTTATTGTAGGTTTCAAAACAACACTGCCTGTGTGTTGGTAGCTCAGCCGACAATGTTGTTTTATTGTTTTGGATTTGAAAAATGAGTTGAAGTGTCATGTTTGATCATATAAAATATTAATAATGTATTAAATACATTATTTATGTATCCATCGCCTGTGGTTGTCTCATCTTTTTAATAGCAATAGAAAAGTCTGTAAAATATACAAAATGTAGTCAAAACCATGTCGTTCTCACCAAACATAATTTCAAAGGCATTTCTTTTTGGTGCTAAATTTAGCTGGGAGCAGGTTTTGACTGGATTTTAAAGTTTTTGCCTACTGTATGTCCAAAGAGAATCTTTATTTTCTGCATGTTTCCAGTGCCGCTTTGCATCAGAAGCAGAGACAGATGTTGCAAACATTTGGCGCTCAGCCCAAACCGAGGGGGGTCTGGGATCGTGCTCCCCTGGGGAGATTATTTTCCCATTTACCGCAGCTATATGCGCTATTTTTCAAACCATTTGAGAGAATAAAATGTCAAAAAATTTGTACATTAGTTGGCTGCCAAGGAATAAAATTGTCCTGTAGAGCCTACATCCTATTTTGTATTTAATACCCTACATAGCATGTGTATGCAGGTTTTTTAAACACGGGAAACCCTGTTAAAGTGGGTGATAGACTGCTTCCTATTGCCATTAGATTGGAGCTGTGTACACGGAAAACAGAAAACAGGTTAGTAAAAAGCAGAAAGCAGCATGGAGGCTTCTTCTACTTCTTTTTTATATCTCTTTACTTTCTTGTAAATGGTGCCAACTAGATTTGTAACGATGTTCGAGCGCTGCCTGGATGGAGACGGACGGTATTTTGTGGCGGCACGTTATTGCATCGCACCAGCAAAGGGATTATCATGGGTACATATATATTCATCTGAATCACGTAAAGTTTAAGGTATTTTAAAAACCTAAAAGTGCCCTGTTACGACTCCAGAATGAAGGTGTTAAATAACAATAGCTGTTGGTAGAACTTTCCTGCACTGTACTCTGGATTAGAGTATTAGAAATTTTAAATTTGGTGGTTTACTTCAGAAATTCTTTTAAGTCCAAAGTTATGTTTACTGTGGGATCGGTCACAAATACCAAACGTGTCCAAGTGGGCATTTTCTGTTATTATTGTGGGGCTGTTTGTCGAGTTATTCTAAGACACTGGAAGACAACAAAGAGTGAAAGAATGGGTCCATGCAATGGTGGAAATAGCATCTTGTGAATGTATGCTCAGTAGAATGAATGGCGATCGTTGGGACCAGTTATGGACTCATATCAAAATGGAGGATAAGCCGACATAATTATGAACTTCCTCTGTGATTATGTGACCCTGTAGTGATGTATGAGGACATGTGTGTGACATGTTTTGTCAGTTTGTTTTCTTCTCTTTCCTTTTTAACGTATTTTTTCATTTTTATTTACAAACTGGAGTCTATCTCCACATTATAAAAAACTATGTGCCTTATATTCTTGAATGCCCAGAAAATAATACATGTATACCATCTACTGAGCCATTCAAACCACTAAAAACTTTCATCATGAAAAAAAAGAGGAAAAAAACTACAAAATTTGGGACTTTTGAAAAAAAAAAACATTTTGGGCCTGCCCCCCCTGAAGCCACCCTCCACTCCGCCTCTGCTCTGTGATGTGAGATTAAATGTCGGTACCTCTTTAAAAAATAAAACCATGCTCCATGTGTGATTTTGTTGAACTGCACAGACACTTCAGGCCCATATCTGACCTGACAGCAATAAATCCTCGGCTGGTAAAACATGATTTAACTGGTTAATTCTGGAGAACATGATCCCTTTAATCAGAATATTACACGTGTCCCTCTGCACCAACATGTCTGCTGTTACATAGTGGAATGAGACTTTCTGTGGGGACCTCCTGGACCCCCTTCAAGGACCCCTGATGGTTGCTAAAGCCCTGCTGTATATCCACGGGGAGAAAAACAGCCCCGGCTGGTATATTCATCACATCCATCCATGGAAAATCAGCTAATTGCTGTAATCGTGAGATTTCCGTCCGCACTTCCGACCACTAAGAGCAGGGATCCAGGCGGCCATCTGTCGGTCTACCAGGATTTGCTTTATCACCAAGAAGCTGAATTTTAACATCCAGCCTGAGAGAGAAAAAACTGAGTCGTTACTGCGCCACAAAGTCTTTCTAGCAGCGCGTTGACTGTGGCACGGCTGCTCCTGCTCTTTTTTAAGCATGTGCTGACCCGAAATGGCACAGGAGGTCATTCAGCTATTGATTTTTCCATTTGAATAGGATAAATTGACTTTGTATTGAACTTCCTTTTCTCATGGATCCGGATGTAGCGCATCCGCGACACCAATCAAACCAGACAGTCAGGAACAGAGAGGAGGGGGGGGGGGGGGGGGGCGGGGGGGGGGGGGGGGGGGGGGGCAGCAGCGAGGGGGGAGTCTTTCCCCTGGCTGCAGGGCTGCTCTGCTCTTAAGGTGGTCCTGGACTAAACAACCCCTCAACCACCACCACCTCCCCCCACAGCCAAAAAACCCCGAGCCATGAAAGTGTCCAAATGATGGGAACATGTCCATATCAGGGAGCTGAGCGAGCTGCAGGCTCATCGTGACACATTGTGTTTCCTCTCATGACAGACGTGCATGCGTAATGGGAACACTCGGGCGAGCAGAGACATCCTGTTGATGTTTCCTCCCTGAACTGTCTATTAAAAACCACACAGTTGTCTGTGCAGAGCTGAGGTGCAGACAGTGGGCTCCAAACTGTGGTTCCAGCACCAGCGGGGGGGCTTTTAATTGAGTCCAGGTTAACTTTGATTAACTTTTAAGATTGTAACAACACGTTAACGTGTGTGTGTGTGTTGGGGGGGCATTATGCAGTGCTAAATACCACAGGGATGATTAACTCTGACTAGAAATGCCATATCTTGTTAAAGACCCTTGAAGGTCCTCAGACCTTTGATTATAAAGCATTTTAATTATGTGCGCAGGGCCGGACCTAGCGTGTTCACTGCCCTGGGCCCCCCCAGAAAAAAACCATAAAAATCACTATTATTATCTTTATGTTCATTATCCTTTTATTTTTTTGTATTTAATACTAACAAGAACAAGCGCTAATGAGAAATCAACACACAAACAACTCAGCTAATAAACAATAATAATAATACCTGTGAAATATCTACACTCTGCTTGTTATTATTATATGTTGCTTTTAATTTTTACTCAGGTGCAATATCAGTATTGTTAAACTGTGCGATATCTATACTTCCATCAGTCAATAATAAAAAAAAAATCAGCTATTCAGTCCATCTCTTTATTATATTCTGCTTCTTTCTGATGCTTCCTTGTTAATAAATAATACAATAATACATTTTATTGAAAAGACGCCTTTCAAAACACCCAAGGTCACCGTACAGTGTATAAATTATTATATTGCTCTTTGCTTTCGTACAGTTTTCTTATTTTACGTACATTTATATGTATATATATTGCTTTGTACTGACCCACTGCTGCTGTAAGGGACTACAGATGAAAATGAGCTAAATATAAATAAAAATAAAAAATAATAGCTTCCCGCTGTGGAACAAAAAAGGGATTATCTTATCTTAATAAACAACAAACAATAGCAAAATATGGAAATACTGTGTGTGCAAATTTGTCATTTTCTTGTTTTTGCACTGCGCTCTGGACGGCTTTTTCTTACTCTAATGCTCTCCATATACACTCCACTCCTCCATTTCCCTTTTTCTAAATATCAAACATATTATGAATAAATACATACCACATTTTTGGGGTCTGTTTTGGTGCCTATGTCTCTTATAGTGAGATCTGCCACTGTATATATGATAAATGTTTAGTTATATTACATATAATACAAGCATTTGTCAAACACTGGTCATTTCTGGTAACTGCATGTTTAAAAAAAGGTCTGTGAACCCTGATTTAAACATATTCACCCCTTTTCTCGCCCCAGTGCTTCACTTCGAATCATTTTTTTAGTTTATCAGTTACTTTTTGCTATATCTTAAACATATGAGAGCCCCTGTGACCACCAAAAACCATCAAACTGCCTTTATGTTATCAGTGTAACAGTGGTAGTAATGTGCTTTAAATGGGGACCAACACTGAGAAGCAAAGACAAAAGTGCTTCAACAAAATGTACAAGTACAAAAGTGTCTTTTTCTTCTTCGTGTCAGAAGCCTGAGTCCCAAAAATGACAAATCAGCAAGAATATAAATAACCGTCTCGTTTATTACATCACTATTAGTCACATTAACCTTATTCACATCATTATTCATAACCCACAAGAACGGAAACTAGTAGTGTTTTTTCTTCCCTGAGCCCCGTCACTGAGCCAAGGCAAAATAAAAACCCCGGTCCACCTTAACTAGTGCACACATCTCTATCGCCCGGCCTTCCACATCTGCCCAATGAATCAGGAGCGGATGCGATGTATCCTTTTTCAGTGGAGTGAATGGCCAATGGGAGTTGGCTTGTCGAGCAAACATTGAGCCCTGCGTTCCCATTCATTCAGTGCTGAACAGGCCCGCAGAGCTGGAGAGAGCGCACCGCCGCTGTCTGCGAGCCCGACGACGCTTTTTCAGCGAGCGCAGACTCCCCGCAACAGTAAGTGCCAGCCGAACTCTCCGTGCGTCCCCGAAGAGGACACAGTCTTGGATATAAGCTGCTTGATCTCATCCCTGCGACACCTCTCCTTTTTTTTCTTTACGCTGTTTTTTTATTTTATTTTCACACCAACTCCTGCGGGACTTCTTCTGTATCTAGGTTGCCCTAAAGATCGGCCTCCCAAGTGCGCAGCAGTTCTCCGGGTTGCCTTCCTTCCCTCCTCCATCAGAGCTCCACCGTGGATTTACTTTGTGTTACCCGGGGACGAATGCATGCGTAACCCGCGCTGTGGACTCCTCTGCTGAACCCACCGAGAAAAAGGGAATAACGCAAAGGGATACACTCGCACTTGGATTAACAGGCTGTGAATGTTATGCATCAGACCTCCTAGTCTACGTTTGGACATTGCCCCTTCCTTTTTGGATGGAGTTTTGGTAGGCTACACGATTGATGGATTCGACGTTATGGATGGTTGCATATAGGTACGTATCTCCAGCACTATTTTACGCTTGTTTTGCGCTTATTATGTTTTATTTACGGCATTTATTCCGCGATAGTAGCGCACGGAGCGACTCAATCTGCGCCGCCGGAGCGATTTAATGTTTTGCAACACTGGTGCACACATCCAAACTCTCTCCGTGTGCTTTCTATATAATTTGGCACAGATAAAAACACCCGCTGTGGGTTAAATTAAACGCGATTAGCTGATGAAGTTGATGGATCTCCATGCCCTGCGTCCTTCCGTGGCTGTGCTGTAACAAACACCCTTCCCCCCACGGCGGTTGTTTTCATTCATAAGTTTTTCCCCGTCTATTTGGATGCGTCCTCTTAATGTCTCTTGATCTGCGGCTCTGTGTGTTTTATAGGATCCTGCCTTTATTACTGCGCACGACGTCTCCTGCTTTGAACTCGCTCAGTGCGGATAATCCTGTTTACAGTGCGCGCTTTGACGCACAGATTATTAAAAAAAAATAAGTTTGTTTGTTTGCGCAGCGCAAAAGATAAAAATCAATCAGTTTGGCTGCAGCGTTTCGTCCTGTGAGGTTTAATGTGTGTTTCACGGGGCCTCGTGCAGGTCGGCGTTGCTTCATAACCAAATTCCTGATGGTGTTTATGGCACAAACAAGCGCATTAGACAAATTATCTGCGTCAAATAAACGCAAAAAAATCGCGTCTCGCTGCAGCGCGAGGTGAAGTTTTAATCCAACTTCAGGTCTGTATTTTGTCGGAACTTGGTCTGACCTTTTTTTTTTCCTTTTTTTTAGCTCTACTTTTGTCCCCATTTCCCTGAAATCCTTTTTGGTGTAGTAATAGAATACTAAGTGAGGCAGCTCATTTAGTTCCCTTGGATCGCGTCCTCATTTCGTCGCCGCGGTGCATTTAAATGTTAACTAGTCATACAAATGTAAATGAGGAGGGGAAGTATTTGTAGGGCCTGCTGAAGTTTAGATGTGTGCGCGTTGGGGAGGAAGGTACAAAAAGTCTTGTTAATAGTCAACTTTTTTTTCTTTTTTTTTTTTACCCCCGGGTTGGCTCACTTAGCGGGATCAAAAGTGACATATTGTCATGTTGACAGGAGGAAAACACTCAGTCTGGCTTCACTTATAATTCACCTTTAAATACTCATACTTTGCTTCTTCTCTTTAAATAACAGTCAATGTTGTAGATGTTGTGCTGCTGCAGTGTAGATATGATGTTGTGACGGTGCTGACTGGGCTCCACTTGGCTTTGAGTCTGAAGTGTCCATGTCCACCCCTCTTCCATCAGGACAGTGTGTTTGCCTGTTATGCCATGTTTTGGCTCTGTCTGATGATGTCCCCTCCCTCCCTGCTTCTCCTTTGTCTCTCCCCGGCCTCTCTTCCCCCCTCTGGCAGGTTTTCCGATGCATGCCAAGTCCACGGTGAATGTCGGAAGTGGTGATCCCCCCAGATGGAGCTCCAAAGTCAACATGGCCCCGGCGGTTCATTAGTGGTGATCCAGCAGCCTTCCCTAGAGAGCCGGCAGAGGTCGGATTACGAGCGGGAGCTCCAGCATGCCGCCATTCTCTCCCTGGACCAAATCAAGGCCATCCGCTCCAACAACGAGTACACCGAGGGGCCCTCGGTGGTACGGAGGCCCCCTGCGCCTCGCATGGCCCCCAGGCCCCAGGACAAGCAGGAGAGGACTCACGAGGTCATCCTCGTCAATGTGAACAACAATTATGAGCACCGGCCATCAGGTCACCACCATCACGTCGGGGGCAGCGTGGTGGTTGTGGCAGGGGGACAGCAGTATGGTGGGTCCCGGGCGCCGGGGCTCAGCCGCTCCACTAGCACAGGAAGTGCCGCCAGTTCAGGGAGCAACAGCAGCGCCTCCTCTGAACAGGGACTCTTGGCACGCTCGCCCCCCACCAGGCCCGGCATGAGCTTACAGCACCACCACAGAGCGGAGCGGCCTGTTCGGACTCAGCCCAAGCCCAAGGCCCTTTTACAGCCCCAGCAGGGACCTCACTTCCACCAGCCTCCACTAGAGGCTCCACTCAAGCCCCAGGGCAAAGGGAAATCAGACTTTTCTAGCTCTGGCAACGGGGTGGTGGCTGCTGCTGGGCACCAGTTCATCTGTGAGCGCTGTGGGAAGTGCAAGTGCAGTGACTGTACGGCTCCCAGGAGCCTGCCTTCATGTCTGGCGTGCAATGGCCAGTGCCTCTGCTCTGCTGAGAGCGCGCTGGAGCACGGCACGTGCATGTGCCTGGTTAAGGGCATCTTCTACCACTGCTCCAATGACGATGAGGGGGACTCTTGTGCTGACCACCCCTGCTCGCTGTCACGCTCCCACTGCTGCTCTCGTTTCCTGTGCATGGGATTAATGTCGGTACTCTTCCCCTGTCTGCTATGCTACCCACCTGTCAAGGGGTGTCTGAAGGCGTGCCAGGGCTGCTACGACCGGGTTAACAGGCCCGGCTGTCGCTGCAAGAACTCCAACACTGTCTATTGCAAACTGGAGAGCTGGGCCCCACAGAGCCAGGAGAAACCTTCCTGATCGCCCCTGTGTGTGTTTGTGATTGCGTGTGCGCGGGAGACTCTTGATGTGGATCTTATGATGACAATGATAATGATGATGATAGTCACAAATTAATGTTTATCAAACATTCTAAGCACCTCCCACCAGCCTCCCCCTCCTCGCTGCGGAAACCTAAGGAGCTAAGCAAAGGAGTAACGAAAACCACTCAATTATTTTTATTTTCTCTGGATCAGGACCATGTTTTTACAGACCAGTGTTTGCCTTAACTGTTTCTATGTCTATCCTCAGCTCCTCATTAACACTATTTTTTTATACATATGAAAAAAGTTTTTCTTCCGTTTTAGGTAGGCAGTTTCCTCTGGGTCTGTGCGCCCGGCGGGAACTGCCTCTCACCAAATCTGTGAAGGACGATCTACTATAGGGCAATTATGTAGCTGTTACCTGGTATTCATAGCAAGCAGGTATGTTTGAATTTATTGGTTGCTGCCACACTAAAACCGTGGTTCCTATGCTCATGTTGCATTAACAAAAGCACATCCATCTCATAGTATTTTTTTTTCCTCCACTTGGATATGTTTCTCTCCTTCCACCCATCTGAACTCTTCATACACATTCTGTGGCATTCTCCCATTGTTTTATTTTTTTCTTTATTTTTGTGTAAATTGTATGCTCAAAATCCATAAGAGGAATTCTGGCTATTTTTTAAAAAGAAAAAATGTCTGTTAAAACATTTTTTTTGTTGTAAAAAATATTTATTATGTGAAGCTCTATTATTTTATGATATTTATTGCAAGAGACAGTCTTAAATTTACTCATGTCTGAATATAACAAAATATCAAATACTTACTGAAAAATTAAAGGGTGGCACAAAAGAAAACTATGTTAACTTTAATGCAGAAAATATATTAATTAATGAAAAACAGCGCTGTCTGGTGTCTTGATTGAGAAACAGTAAGCGGCCTGACTGGTGGCTGATTTTAAGTTGGAGTTTGAGCTGATTGGCGAACAGCAAATCACTGTTTTCTGTGTGTGTGCATGTGTGTTCACGCTGGGTGTGGAATTCCTGGTGAAAAAAAAAAAATCAGCAGTGAGTAGAAACAGCTTGTAGCTCGAAATGTGACTGTTTACATTCTTGGAGGGCTTCTTTGCTGCGATTCTCCTTGGTAACCTTGAAAGCTAAACAATACAGGTCATTGACACGATTAGCCCCGAAGCTGCTAGCATCAACAGAGCCTCCACGTTTCCATGAGTTATGCTCGCAGGAAGTAACTCTCCTTCTAAACCCCCCCACTCCACTCACCAGCCAACAAGTCACCACAAAACTATGCACTGTAGTTTACTCCCTGGGCTTTAATGCGGCTAGATCGGGATGTTCCCAAACTCCCAAATGGTCTCCATATTGTGGAGCCCAACAGTGTGAGCCTTGAGAAATGAGAGCGACCATTACGAGTAGCCGGGCCACCTGTTCAAAGATAATAAACCGGGGCTATCAATGCTGGGCTTTTATGGCGTGGTTCCTGCACTAAAGGCAACGACAGGGGCAAATCCAGCCCCCACCCCGACCCACACTCCCCCATTTGGCCGCCTCTTTTTGTCAGTGAATTTATNCCCCCCCCCCCCCCCCCCTCCCCTCCCCTCCTACCCCACTGACACCCACTCCCCCCTTCCACCTCCGGGCCCCCAGGGGATGAGATCATCACTTTGAAAGTTGGTTGGTCAGCCAGAAATGCCAACAGTTGGGGAAACACAAACTGTGACCAGGAATTTCTCTGGGACAAAGGAAAAAAATATACTGTGGCTTAGGTTTGGAAAACTGCAGCGTTGGCAAGAAAACAACACAACCGTGTCTATAATCAGCTACATGTGACGCTGGTGCCCTCAGGTGCTGTGTGCAACAGGCCTGGGATCTTTGGATTCAGAGTTGTGCTGAACGGGAATATGAACCTCTTGATTTAATATAAGAACTCCACAGAAAAAAGCTGCAGCAGCTCTGAGGAGTAGAAGGTTCGGTTTAAAGGTCCCATATTATTCTCATTTTCAGGTTCACAGTTGTACTTTGGGTTTCTACTAGAACATGTTTACATGCTTTAATGGTCAAAAAACACTTAATTTTTCTCACTCCGCCTGCCCGAACATCCCTGTACTCATCCTCTGTCTGAAACGCTCTGTTTTAGCTCCTGTCTCTTTAACCCCCCCTCCCAAAAAGCCCAATCTGCTCTGATTTGTCAGCTTTTCCGGGTCTTTCACATCTGCACTTGTGGCACCTTTGCACCGTCATTACGTCTGGGAAATTAATGTAACAGCACTATAGCAGCAGTTTCTACTGTTATATAGTAAAAATGTGACATCACAACTTCACAGAAGTCGTGACTGCTCACTTAAAGGCACAGTCTCTCTATACAGAGTATTGAGTGTTCTGACACTTTCACCATATTTCCATAGCAACTACATCTGTTTTACAATTTAAAAAGACAGAAATCTGACTTTTTATATTATTGAAGCTTTAAAGGTCCCATATTATGCTCATTGTCAGGTTCATACTAGTATTTGGATTTCATGTTTACATGCTTCAGTGCTCAAAAAACACATCATTTTTCTTATACTGACTGTCTGAATATACCTGTATTCACCCTCTGTCTGAAACGCTCCGTTTTAGCGCCTGTCTCTTTAAGTTCCCTTCCTGTAAAAGCACAGTCTGCTCTGATTGATCAGCATTTCCTGGTCTTTCACATCTGCACTCATGGCATCTTTGCAGCAGCAGTGACTTTTTATATCAAAACTTCAAAGGTCCCACATTATGCTCATTTCCAGGTTCATACTTGTATTTAAGGTTTCTACTAGAACTTGTTTACATGTTTTACTAGTCAAAAAACACGTAATTTTTCTCATACTGCTGCCTGAATATATCCTAACCCTGTCTGTCTCTTTAAGCCCCCTTCCTAAAAAAGCACAGTCTGCTCTGTTGGTCAGCGTTTCCGGGTCTTTCACATCTGCACCCATGGCGTCTTTGCACCATCATTGCAGCTGGGGAGTGACTGTAACGGCACCGTAGAGGCAGTAAAATTGTGACATCACAACTTCAAGGGCATCCTGACAGCTCACTGAAAGGCACAGTTTGTGAACATGACTGTGTGCATTTCTCTGTGGGATGAACATTTTCAGCCTTTCACAGTATTTTTATATTAAAAAAAAAAAAACTTTAAACAATATGGGACCTTTAAACACTTCACAGATGAGAAGCGAACTGTAAACAATAGCACAAAGGAAGTATCTTGTTGCCTTTGTCATTTAGCTGAGCAGGCTTTCACTGAGACCGACTAGCACGCAGCCTTATTCCAGTTTGTCAGCAGCTTGCATTAAATGAAGCGTTCCTCCAAATGGGCCTTCTGTACTTAATGTGCTTTTCTTTCCCTTTTTGGTGGAATGTACCTTTTGTTGCCCTGAATAGTTAAGAGTGGATTAGCGATTTGTCAATTTCCTGTTACCTTTCAGAGCTGCAATCCGAGCCCCATTTGCTCCTGGCTCCTGGATGATAGCAAACAATAGGAGGCCTTTTTTCAGGTTTCACTATAGTTCCCCTGTACGGATGAGGAGGGGGGAGGAAGAGATCTAAACTGTATTTAGGAGGTGGTGAACAGGAAGACAGTGTTTACTCCAGCCTAAGCCAAATAAGGAAACAGATCCTACTCCCACCATTTCCAGAACTTGGCTCTGCTAAGTCCTTAACATGTCTCCTAAATCTCTGATCTAATCGGCGAAAGTGTCTAAAATAACATCTTAAGTGTAGTAACTTGTGTGTAGTAACTTTTCGGTCACCCTGCCACGTGAACTGCACTGTAACTGCGTCACATGTTACTCATCATGGGACTACTCAGTGAAATCTGAGTCAGTATTAAGTAATTAAATGGTATAAATGGTCATAACCCTCCTCCTCCTCCTCCTACTCCTTCTTCTCTTTGCACTTGTTTCAGAGTAAATTTAGCTGCTCCACACACCCACGTAATGCTATTTAGAGTTGTCAGGCTTGGCGGGTCCCTCGCTGCAGCTTTGGGTTTTTTGGGGCCATACAAGTGCAAACACGCATGACTACCAAGTGAGTCATGGTGGAACCTCCAACCCACACATCCTACCGGGGCAGTCCTTTTCTTAGCCAGGGCACCGCTGCCGGCACGGCCGCGATGGAGCAGGATACTCTATAAACAGTCATCCTCCTCCACAGCATTCATCACCAAAAGGCCTGCCTCAGCTTTCCTCCGCCTCCTCATCTGGTTTTCATTATTTCCCCTCATGGCATATAAATAGAAATTAGCAATCAGGGGAAACGTGGGGGTGGTGGATTTTGGAGAGGAAGGCAGCTTTTTTGGACTTCAGCGTGATGACCAAAGTTTATGGAAGTTATCTCCTCAGATATTCAGTTTATGGATGATCTCGGTGCGCTGGAGCGACATGTGAGAGTGGATGTGTTTAGAAACTGCTCCAACATACACACTCGGCCTCGGCAGGATTAAAATGACATTGGAAAAAAAAAATAGATAGCCATAAAACATCTGAGCACAGGTCCTGATAAAGTCACGGCTATAATGTCCAAAATACTTGAAAAATACAGAATACTAAAAACCTTGTGTATCCAAAGTGTAAACATCTGCGTAAATAAGAAAAGCCGCCTTGTGTTTGCCTCGACCACCGTGCGCTTCAGAGTTTATATAACAGGTTTTGAAAGGGTTTGGTTTGGAGGATTTTCTCAACCCACAGAGGAACATGTAATCCTTCAATTTAACTTAAAACGTGAACTCGGAGATGTGATATTTTCACCCAACAGAGATGATATTATAAAGACTGCTTCTGGCTCGACAGCGGAAAAGGCCAACAGATTTTGCGGCTCTCAGAGTTCCAAGTAGCCATCAATCGAAGGACGCACACATGATTGTAACTACAGCTCCTCTGCTTGACTTCTACAGCGGTGCAGGACTGGTTTAAGGAGATCTAGAAAATCTCATGAAGGGATGTCCTGAAAGATTAGATCATTCCCTACAAATACAGATTAACTTTCTGTTTCTGAGGACATTCCTCTCTCTCTTATTATTTAAAGGTGCTCTATGGAACTCTGGAGAAAGATATTTGATTGTTGAGCCTCATTACCACGTCGTCAAATACCGACTCTTTGGGTTGGTAATCGGACTGAATCACCCACCCAAAGTGTCTGACGACCTGGGAATCAACACTGAAATATCTTTCTCCAGAGTTATTTAGTTCTGAAAATGTCGGCGTGCACCCTCATTCTGTGGAGGATTGACGAGGAGCAGACTTTCTTCTGTGTCACCGGTGATGACGAAACACAGTGGATGCTGGACGGAGCACTGAGTGACAACAACTCCGCCCACATTTAAGGGTTCTGTTTGCGGTGGACATGCTAAACAGACCGAGGGTCTAGGTACCATGTCTGAAGGGTTACTTTTGGTTCCAGAGGTACCATACTGAAAGGGTTCGGTGGAAACAGGGCTTAAAATAAAACTTCTTGTATCTATGTGACGTCAGAAATTTTGGTGATCAACACCTCAAAAACAAATCACATCAGCTCAGAAAGACAATTTCTTTGTACATTGGATGAATGTGTGCCGCAGAATACTACACTTAGCTGCTGCGGGCTGCTTTCTGTTTGTCAGACGAGAATGTGTGTCAGTGGACACGCAGTCATTTAGCGGCCTCTTTCCTCCTCAGGAGCCATAAAGGGCCTGCAGGGACAACCCTGTGTTTTATCAGGTGTCGAGGGCCATTCAAGATGGAGGTGTTTCATTGGGGCCTGAGCCTCTTAAGCATTTGCTCCTGGGTACACACGCCCACCCACAGGAACTGTGGTGTAAAACTTTCACACCCCCCCTCCTAACCTGCTGCAGCATTACCAGCTATCTGATACCACATTCT